AAGGTCATCCCCAACCTGTAGGTGTCCTGGGGATTCCTCCTTCCTCAGTGGAGTACCTTACATTTATCTTCGTTGAAATGCACCCTATTTTGTTCTGCCCATTGATCCAACCTGTCCAAGTCAGCCTGTGTCTGCTCCCTGCCCTCCGGTGTGTTAACTTTGCCCCATAACTTGGTATCATCTGCAAACTTGGAGAGGGTGCTCTCCACACCCTCATCCAAATCACTGATGAATATTAAATAACACCCGTCCAAGGACCGAATCCTGTGGGACCCCACTGGGATGTCCTACCCTTGTCATGAGACCATGTGTTAAATATTTGTGCGTTACTGGACCTCATGGTCCAGGTATCACTACTGAAATACAAGCGTATTTTAAGGGTTTACACCGTGTGTGTAAAAGATGAGCATCTCCACCAATTTGGTTTCTTTCTTCTAATCTGTGTAGATCCCTACTTTTTCCCTGTTTTATAAAAAAGTCTTTTAAACTGCCTAAATTATGAGAGTGGCATACACTAATTTTGGAACAAACACTGAGTAAGTAGCCAGAAAGTTTTACTATTAACACCTTGGAGCCTTACAAAACGCCCTCACCTACCACTGCATGTCTGAACATACTCTCCTTGGAACTGTTTCTGTTCGCATGCTAATGAACACTTTGCCTTAGGGACTCTGCCTGTTTCCTGGCTGAATAAATGTTGGAAAAGTTACAATCCATAAAAGATATATTTACATCCAACCAATGCAACAGCTGTGGTTAATATCAGACAAGAAATGGTCCATTACAATTATCAAAAGATAAGCAACTTAAGAAAGGTTAACCCAATATTCATCTTACATGGATTTGTACCTAAAATCCCACCACTTTAGTAACCTGTACTGAACGTGACAATTTTTACCATCTCTGTGTGCTCTGATACCATATTTATTTACACGGTGTCCCAAAGGAAATAGCATCCATTAGCAGTAGTGTGGTCTGTAGCATAATGGTATCCATTATTTTCCACTACATTCAGATGTGAGTCTCCGTTCTTGCTGGAGTTCTGTAATTCTCTTCTGGCAAACTGGTTACCGTGGTGGATAACTCATCATGTGACAACCTGCAAAACAAGCAAGTGAAGTAACAAAACGTAGTGAAATTGTCCCTTGGCACAGCCCCGTCTCAAAGAGATGTCATATATGGAATTGAACAAATCACACACTGTATCTGGTAGTCGATATGAAGCCTTAATTAAGTCAACCCAACTGGTTTCTGCATGTTTCCCGAAACCTTTATGTTAGTAGTTAAAAATGCCTATAAAATATGTATTTACTTGTCTTCCCCTGCACAGGTATCTGTTCTGAAACGAAGCGCAAACATTGGGCCAGGTCCTCTGCCAACATGGGCCAGGTGAGTATCTTGCCCATAACTATTTTAAATTAGGAAAAGTATCACCAGGAGACACTGCTAGGATACCTGAGATTCGCAATCTGCAGACTACAGCCTCCACTCTACGTCCAGGGCCTCGACTAGTGTGTGAACAGGGGCCTTGTAAACAAATGGGACGTAAATCCAGGAAGCCGAGAACCCGTGAAGATACTTGCTAAGATAATGTGTTCCACGAATGATGAAATGTCTGTCTGTCATACATGCTAATAAAGAAATGCCTGAAACACCCAACTCATGTTACCAAGTGCTCATTCCTTTGCAACTATCCTGTGATAATTTAGGGCAAGAGGCTTGTTTCCCCAACATAAGGCAAGGGAGATGAACACGACTCTTTAGGTCAAGATTATTCAGGTTGTGGAGAGAATGATTCTGTCCAAGGCAAGGAGAAGATTTGAACTGACTTCTTGTTCCCTTATTATTAATGGCACTGTTTCTACACGCCAGAAGGAGCTGCATTTCATTTCCCCATGCTAGTGTGGGTTGCCTTTCAGAGACATTTGGGAAAGGCACCAGTTCACAGGGTACTGCTACAATGTACCTAATAAATAATATAAATTCCTCAGCAAACATTAGTGTTCACTTCTGGCTACAGAATCCATCCCGTTGACTGAGACCTTAGGTCTAATTATTCAAACATGCATGCTAATATGTTTTAATTTTGTGTTTTTCTTTAATGATATTATACTGTGAGCCTGTTCTAGAAATAACACTATTAAAGTTCCCTTTCAAAACAAAGATCAATCAAAGAGACAAGCAATTATTTCATTATCCTTCAGAAACTCATAACATAATGAAAGGAATATTAAAAATAAACTAAATGGGTCTTCTTGATTGAAAGAATAGCTCAGTCATAATGACTTTCTCAACGAGTAAAAATTATCCAGGATTAAGTTTTCACAGCTTTGAATATATTATGGATTCTCCGTTTCTAATAATTAAATATGGGGGGTTTTCTCCAATAACAAAGAATAAAATTAGCAACAGTTGTATTTGAATATAAGTGAATACACAAGATTAAAGTCTTAAACTAGAGCAAACACTACAAACATTTTGGGCCAGGCTGTTCCTTTTGGATCTGTGCTTGGGGGAGACTCTGTGCTCAGAGCTTTTAACCGTCTGGCACACCATGAATCCATCGGGTCACCACCATCATGACATCATCACTTCCAGTTTGCTAAGAGCTCGATGATGGTCCAGGGGTCTCTGCTTTTGGAGAAGGACCATGAAAAAAATATATCAACCCCCACACCCATCATATTCAGGTGTCAGTCAGGACAGCCTAAGGCTGTATGTACTTCTTACCCCGAGGTAAGAGCTTGGGAATGCCCCTTGGAGGGCAGATGTGACATTATGGAGAAAGAAACCCAAATAGGATGGCTCAATGTAGTTATGCTGTCAGAAGCAAGAGTTCTGGAAGCCAGCACAGAGAAATGTGTTTCCAGATGACCATATGGCCTGATGTAGTTCTCTGTGCACTGAAGGCCATCAGCTTCTTTTGTAGGGAGAGAGGAAGAAATCAAACCACAGCCCCATATTGCTCATTTAAAGGTTACGGAGATCTCTAAGAGGATCCCAGCAGTTTCTTTCTGCTCAGGCCCCACCTATACTTGCCTTTGTCACAAATTGCAACAGAATTATCTGCTTCTGTGTACAGCCGATAAGAAAATCAGAATGCAATGACTGGCCAAGGTTATTGCAAGACCCCTGGCACGGCTTTATGAGCACTCGTGGTGCTCTG